TAGAATAATCATTATTAATTTGATCTTCTCTTGCTTGCATCGGTTGGCATAATAATGATATACTCCGAGCATCTTATTGGCTATTGACTTGATACATTTGTTCTTGGCCACCACAATATTTAAACAAACTCTGAGAACCTTTCAATACTCGGAGCCAATTTTCTGTATGTTGATAATAACTTTCGGCCTATGGTTATTGCTCAAAATCACTCGGCCGACGGTGGGGTAATTTGAAGAAATATTTCCTTAGCTTATCGGCTATCTATAGCAGCATGTAAACCTGACCTGTGCAAACCTGAGTTCGGAATCTATTTCTTTCAGTTGTGTATGGACATATACAAAGAATACTTGGCAATTCTCCTTCCTTCTTTGAGTTGACCATCTCCATGCAAAACTTGCTTTTATTTATCTTCACAAATGCATCCTGTGTCACAATATATTTGGAGTCTCGATTTTCGGCAACCATACCGATACTTGCATACATGATACTTTCCGGTAGATTCCTGTGTGCACTGATCATTTCCTTTTTTGTTTCAGCATTAAATTTAATCAATTGTGGCTGTGTCGGCTCTACATAGCCGATTGTGCGTTCAGAGCACCACCTGGTATCCAAGCTCTCCATGTCGCACACGGGCATCCACTGCTGAAGTACCTTTGCTAGCGGCAGCCTACCTAAGCTGGCCATGTCGTGTCTGCTAGGCCAGATGGTTCCATCACCTGATGCATTAGTTGAAGTGGAAATTGAGCCGGTACTGGCTCCCAGGGCTCAAGTGGAAATTGAGCCAATATCGACCCCCTAGCCGATCTCTGTATATCTGTTCTATCGATAGAGGTGAGCAAGAGATAGAGTTCAATTCAACGTGGTGCACCTGAACTCTTGTTTCTTGATTGCTTGTAGTAAAAGACCTCATTGGCTTTTACTGGCATGTGTGTCGTCAGCTTGTCTCTGGACAATCATCGTGATCGGCTTGATGCTTGATGGCTGGTCACATACGTACCATGTATGGATATTTTAATCTGCCTTGCTTGTACGCGGACCACGTCACCATATTGGTCGTAATTTGCATCAGCTCCGTAGAGCCAATATATACGGCCGACCATAGCAGTGCTAATTGATATTTCCTCTGGTGCCGTCGTGTAGCACTTTCACGCTGCTTCTTTCCGCGTCTGCAGCTTCTTAGTTGGATAAGAACAGGAACCAAAGGAAACAATAGCCTCTTTGTGAACACGTCAGTCCACTGCTACAGAAATTAAGTGTAGGGGCGACTGCGCCAGTCACTCTTCTCAGGATGTTCCTACAGAGGGTGCTTTTGTAGGGGCGGTTTCCTGACCGCCCCTGCAGTGCCCTCTATAAAGGTGGCTGGTGTTTTCAGCCGCTCCTACAGTGGACTTCTGTAAGGACGGTTGTATCACCAGCCGCCCCTGCTGTGTGTATTTGTAAGGGCGGTTCAATCAAGAATCACCCCTACAGTGGATTTTTCAGCAAAAAAAATTAATTCAAATTCAAATCTGACCACACACATATATATATATATATATAATTCAAATTCGAATCTGACCGCCACAAATATACATATATACATCCACAAACACAAGACCATTATTTAGAACATCATCACAAGTCATAATTCACAAAAGTCCATCATTACAACATAGTCCATTAAGAAATCCACAAGTCCACTTGCAAAACAAAGTCCAAACCGTTTCAAAGTCTGATCCAAATCATACCACAAGTCCACATTGTCATCAACGGTCTAGGACTAGCCTATCAGTCTCCCGAAGGTGTTGGTATAGAGAATTACTACCTAAGTCGGAAAGAACATGATGATAAATGCTTTTATAGTACACAATCTGGTCCATTATGAAGTTGTAAAGGTCGCCGACCATCTCTAAGAGCTCGTCATCCTTGTATGGGTTCCTTCTCGTGTCTTTATCTTTCTCCAACTATAAGAGAACAAGTTTAGGTTTACTATATCACAACACATGCGAACTTTTCATACTACGAGCGAAGAGGTTCAAACTTACCAGATTGGGGTTTCTGTTGTAGCCACCGATGCTACTCATCATAATACATGTGTAGTATCCACAATGTAGACTCACAGGCTTCTTCTTTGGGGCACTGTGTGTTTTGCATAAGGAGACGTTAAGTAATGCTATTGATAGACACGTAATATATGGAGTACCAAAGTAAATGACACTTACCGCACATAGAGTTTTGACATACAACTTTTCCTTCCTATTTGGATGATGCCTCCCCTTATGTTCCTGGACATAGTGCCTGAATGCCCTGTTCCAATGGTTTTAGCAAATGCAACTTGTTAGTATCCCACATTGAATCTTACAAGTATGTATACAAACATAGTAGCTAAAATAAGGATTATCAATATGTATACGTCTTGAAAATCGCTATGAAGTCTTTGTATGTCTCGACTGGGAAATCCGCTGAATCAAAGACCCATGCCATGCTATGTGAGAGCCAGACGCCTATGCAAATCCAGTGATCGCTGCATGAATTTAGTCATAGAAGGAACACATAAGCTCTTTTGCATCGAACAAAGTATATTGAACAAAGCTAAGTATACAGTCGAACTTACTTGAAGTGGTATGGTATCCATATATTATCGTGTTGTTGGAGATTTTTAAAACATAGGGCAATGTATGCTGTGTCTTTCCAGCTCCTAGTTCTTTGCAATCTAGTTTTCAATCTTTAGGGTAATTAAAATTTGTTGATGCTATAGGTGAAGGGTCTATATACCCGTGTTTCAGAGCTGGCCTCTTTTTCACAAAGCCCGCTTGCGTTCTACAAATCACGGCGCGGGTTAGTTACAACAAAATTAAAAGATTACATTCATATCATATCGAGAGGGCAAGGACTTACAGGCACCATATGCGAATTAGATTCATTTCCATTCGTCCGAGGTGGAAGCATGCCTGGATATCCTTAAACTCAATGGCAATTTGCCCACCTGGGGCTCCAAATGTGCCGGTAGGGATCCATGCTTGTAAGATTTCTAGTTCTGTTATCTGAGCACGCAAGTATCAATCGTGGAACTTTCTCATTTCACGTGGCAAGCACTGTACGACTCGGTTTGGTAGGAAGTTCTTGCCTTTTTCATATTTATCTAGGCAATCATTTGACCATTTGAGGTTATCAACAGCTGGATACTTGTTCTTCACGTATCGGCTGTTCACGAGACAATTGCTGTTCATGAGACACTTGTTGTTCATGTATTGGTTGCCATACTCGTGGAAAGGAGTTAACTTCTGTTGGATAAAGTTCTTGTTCAGATCCGACCGCCAACGTCGGAAGCTCTGTCCCATTATCTTAAAAGCATTTTGTTGTACCAACTCGTGCGTTCCCTCTGGAAACCTGAAGTTCTGCTTCAGCTTCTCCTATAGGTCTACCTTTTGGCTCATAGGTACAAGATTCCAGCCACGGATAGCTGGGTTCAACTTATCTCTAACTACAAACTCGATGTGATTACGGAATTTCGCCCTGTATGTATATGGCTCAAGGATCTGCCCGTCTGGCCCGACCTCCGTTATCACATAGCATGCCTTGTCGTGATATTGGTTTGGCTTTCTAATCCCCCCTCGTTTCCTCTTTGGCTGGGCAGTCTCAGTCGTGGTTGTGTCCTGAGGTTGTGGAGCGGAGGCCTCATTGTGAGTATCTATGGCTCCTTCCTCTGATCTCCTTTGCCCCGCTATGTATTGTCCGGCAAGACGAGCCGGAGGCCGACGTCGTCTTTTCAGAGGTTGAGTAGGGACGACCTGTGTATCCAGCAGGTCAAAAGTGTTAGCAGAGGTAACATAAAGCCATAGCATTAGCCAAATTTACAAGCTACTAAGGCTTTATCCGTACCTCGTCGTTCGGATCAAAATCCTTGTCCAACTCGTCCTACGTTGGCCTCCGTCTGGGTTCTTGTGGGAAAGGATCCTCGGGACTTACATATCCCTCTGATGAGGTGTCGTCATCATCATCCCCTTCTTCGCCTTGGGCATCCTCTCCGCCTTCTCTTCCCTGGCTCCCTCCACTGGATCATCATCATTGACAAGGTCCTCGTGAGTAAGCATCACTTCTAGACCATTTTCTAACTCGTTATCGAACTTGCTCCTGAGTAAGCTGGTCATCTAGTTCTTGCTCTCCATGGGATGGCTGCTCATCATTCACGGGGCATCGAGATGCACTCTTTGATGTTTGCGACATTTCATGTCTTGTTCTAAGAGATGCAAGAAAAAAAGTAGTATAAGTAGTAGAAGTAGTAGTACTAGTATAGAGTCATCTTTAGATTGCATATGTTTGTGCATTTTTCACTAAATCTAGTTCGTGTTCACTCCAGCCAGATACTAGGATGCAAACATGGGAGTTGGAGGATGCCTTAATTGCATCTGCTTCTATTCCAAATGGAAACGATCCCATGACAGTCCCTTGGAATGATAATTTTACTAAGTCAAACATGTTGCATTGTTATCACAATTCAAACGCAGTTTGCATGACTCCAGTGGCATAAAAACTGTAATCCTATAGTGAAATCCTTGCAGTCTGAATCCTTGCAGACTGGAGGAAGAGATTTTTCAGCATGTGGAGGAAAAGAAGACACTTCAACATGAGCTTTCTCATCTTAAAGAGGATAGGAGTGACTTGGATAGGAAACACTCTACAATCAAGGAACAGATAGAATCTATGAACTTGAATGTAGAATCGCTACAAGCACTTGCACAAGAGCTGAGGGATGGCAATGTTGAGCTGAAAAGAGATTGTCAAGAACCATGAGAGCATTGAACTTGTGCATATTGATAATCTGAGAAAGTTAGAGAGGATGTCAGAGACGAATGCACATTTAGAAAAGTCTTTGTCAGCTGAAACAGCTGAGCTTGAGCGATTGAGGGAGAACAAGGTGGCTTTAGAAGATTCATGCATGCACTTCAGATCCAAGATTAGCACTCATCAGTCTGAGCGAGCTGTGCTTGTTGCGCAGATTGAGGTAGTTTCTTAGACCATGGAGGAGCTACTGGAGAAGAATGTTTTCTTGGAGAATTCACTATCTGACGCTAATGCTGAACTTGAGAGTTTAAGGATGAAGTTGAAAGAACTGAAAGAATCTTCAGAGGCACTCCAAAATCAGAATTCTATGCTTCAATCTGAGAAGAGAACTCTTGTCCACCAGGTATGACTCAAAAATTACTATTTTCCTAACAGCAACAAAGCTTTTTAGTAGGCTAAAAAGATACTATTTTCCTGCTCTCATAACAAAGGTTTGGTCCACCTTCTCAGTAATTACATTCTTATTTTAGGTTGAGGGCATCACTGTAACTCTGCTGAATTTGGAAAGGCAATACAAAGAACTAGGAAGGCGACACTCAGATCTGCAGAAGGAGAAGGACTTGGTGCTTGATGAAGTGATCAAGATACAGGAACAGATAAGGCTTGAGAGGAAGGAGCATGAAGATTGTACACAGTCAAGCAACACTAGATTCGATGCTCTACAGAAAAAGATTAGCCTACTGCTAGAAGAGGGTAGGAATAGAGAGGTGCAGCTTGGAGAGGAGGAGCTCAAGATTGTCAAAGCTCAGATAGAGATATTTGTCTTGCAGCAGTGTTTGAATGACATGGTGGAAGTAAATTCTGAAATTGCAGCACAACTGACCAAACATTGTGCAGCTCATCTTAAATGAGATGTTACTGGGCCACTGCTCTGTACTAACCACTAACTACTAAACACGGGGACTTCCGGATTTACCTTAGGACTTAAGAATACATAAAACACTTTGATGTCCATTATAGGGTGAAACATAACTATGTAGTGGACACTACCAGATGCCTCCTTTTCATTACCAAAAGAACACCCAAATTGGATCATACCCAAAACACTTCCAATTAGAATATCCAGCATGAATGTTTTATGTCTATCTCGGTTGCTGAATCAAATCATTTGTAGGTTAAAACTTTTGACAAAATGCTCAAGAAGGCAGACATAATCATAACGCCCGTAAAAAATAGAGGCAATTGTCTACCGGACACTGAAAGTGGAGGTTGTTGGCTGACGGACACCCAAAATTGAACCATTTGCTGAAAGACACTCTCGTTACTGATAATTATGCTGTTAGACACCGCGCCTCATATTTTATTCATTTCCACCTACTGAGGAGAGAGGAAGATGGGGAAATATCATTCTTACCCTTCTCTTTCTTCTTCATCTCTATCCTTCCTTTTTCCTGTGCAGCGTCTGTTCCCCGCGCGCACCGCGGCCAACGCTGCTAGCCTGCTACACATACCTACCCTCTGCCCTCAATCCAATTCCCAGATCACACCGACGCAGCACAGCGATCAGAACGTGACCCGAACCAACGCAATGGCGACGCTCACCGTCCCCTCCTCCGTGTCCCGGCCGTCGCCGAGGACTGCGAGCAGCTCCACAAGGCCTTCGAAGGTCCCACTCCGACCCCCGACCGCATTCCTCACTCGCACCGGCGCGCGCTCTCGCTGCACACGCCAACGACTGACGCGCTCCGCGTTTTCGATCGATGGCAGGCTGGGGCACCAATGAGAAGCTGATCATCTCCATCCTGGCCCACCGCAGCGCCGCGGGATCCGCTGCACCTACGCCAATGTGTCGGGAAGGAGCTGCTCCGTGCTCTCAGCGACGAGATCCACAGCAAGTTCGAGGTAGGTAGCAGCAGATCGGTGGATCAAAAACACGTGCGCGATTGATTGGCTCATCGGTTGATTTGATTGGTTCGCCCTTGAATGACCCAGAGGGCGGTGATCCTGTGGACGCTGGACCCCGCGGAGAGAGACGCGGTGCTGGCGAACGAGGAGGCGAAGAAGTGGCACCCCAGCGGCCGCGCTCTGGTGGAGATCGCGTCGCCGCAAGCGCCACAAGCAGCTCTTTCGCGCCAAGTAGGCGTACCACGACCGCTTCAAGCGCTCGCTCGAGGAGGACGTCACCGCGCACGTCACCGGCGACTTCCGCAAGGTGAGGGCCTCAGATTTTATGATGATCTGACGTTTGTTTGCCGCCGCCGCTGTCGTGCTTTCTAGGAGCCGAGCCGCTGCGCCCGCTCTGGCCATAGCCCACTCGGCTGCCCCTGCTGGCACTGGGCACTGCCCAGATCGCCGCCGGCAACCAGACCCCTGCTGGTCTGCTTGATCGGAGAAGGACAGACGTCTGGATCTCGCCGACCGGCCAGTGAACGACCAAATCGACCAACAACCAGAGGGTCAAGAAGACAAGGGCAGTTTAGACATTTCTCCCACCTTCTCTCTCCTCTAAACTGAAAAATAAATAAAATAATCGGTGCGGTGTCTTCCGACAAATAACCACGAATTTGTAATGTCTGCCAGCAAATTTTGATGTTGACGGTGTTCACTAGCCAATTACGTGTTTCTCCAATGTCCCACAGCCAATTTTTCCTAAAAAATATCATGACAAAATTAGTAAAGTGATGGTTAAGATTCAGCAACAAACTGGAAATCACATATAGGAAGATCTATTTGCAGGCAATTGCAAAAAACTACTACCCCGCAATTTCATTCGCAAACATCAGGTTACTACCAAATTGGACACGGAAAAACAGCAATTTCACCTGGAAAAACATCAGCATTTTGATAACATGTAGAAGATTACTGCTTTGAGCACAATTATAGTGTACAAATAGAAAGTTAATCATGAGTGCATATGAACAGAGGATAAGGATGAGTTTAGCTGCGTGCAATAGAAGACACAAGAATTCCACAGCAATACCTCGTAGACTTTTATGCGGTCATGGAGGAGGTATCGTGGCTCCAATTCATTCACCAAAAAAGGCCTACCGTTCATGCAGAACAAGGTCAGGGAAACTAACTGGAATATGAAGAATTACAGAAAAGAACTCATCTATTCACTTAAGAAATAAAGTTTCCGCATCTGAGAATGTAAGGTAGTACTTAATTTTAAGTGTTAGTTTATTAAATTAGGGCAGAAAAGACTCCCAGTGGTATTGCTAATACGTGGATGGCCTACTCCCTCGCTGTTTTTTTATTTGAATCATATTCCCCAAGAGTCGTCATGAATGATAATTTGGATTACTCAGTACATAGAAAGGGTCAACTATGCAATGATCATGTAGATTTGACTAATTGGGTATGCATGTTGACAGATAAAAAGACTAAAGAAGACAAAAGATCATTGAATAGGAAGAATTAGTAAAGTTTTAGTTTTATGCTACTGCAAACATGTCTAAGACAAGGAGCTTCGAATAATGGCCCCGTTCGCTTGTCTTAAAAATAGCTTGTTCGGCTTCTTTTTTTAGCCGGAACAGTGTTTTTCTCTCACAATAATTCAGCCGGAACAGTATTTTTCAGCCAGTTTCAGCCAAATTTCAGACCAGCGAACGGGGCCAATGACTTTTAAGTGATCATATCTCCTTCAAGGAGTGTGCAATACACATCCACTACTTGACCAACTTAAATGTTAGTCCTTAGTTGTTATCTCTGCAACTAGAGAATCGGCAATAGTTGCCTTGCTGGTTAGGTGGAACAATGTGGTGTTGAAAAGAAATTATCACTTGGTGGGGGACGCAGCCAATTGGCAACTTGCAGGGTTATTAACCCAAACACAAAGTAGCCACTCAATTAGCAGTTGCATTTCTGAACTGGTAACTGTTGTGCCCATAAAAGCACATAGTTTGTCTCCCCAAATATTAATAGTTGCCCTCCTCAACAGTACTGCTTTCCCAGAAGTAGTTGCATTCCTAAGGAAAAAGCTACTGCAAATTGTGCCCCAAAACTAAGCAACAGGAGTCTCATTCTTTTATTCCTTTATTAAGCTTGTTATATGGAAACAGATATGCAGACCGAATACAAATAGGTCACTCAAAGGATGAGGTTGTTAGAAGCTTGCAAAGCAAACAAATAAATGCTGATGCCCCTACATCCCTCTCTCCCTCAGCATTAATACATTATTAAAAAAACTGAGATGTAGTTACAAGAACAGTTACCATTTGAAAGAGATTTATAAAGCAATAGCAACTGAGGTGAGTGTGGACTGTGGAGGCTCACCGGCTGCAACGGGCAGACGTACACCCACCGTCCGCGCTGCTCGTCCCGCTCCACCGCGCAGCGGCCGCGCCCGCAGACACACAGCGGAACCCGCTCAATGTATTCCACGACGTGGATGAAGTCCTCGTCCTCCTCCGCGTCGCCGCCGGAGCTGGCGTCGGCGAAGTCGAACGGCTGCCTCAATTGGGCGCCATGGATGGCCGACACCACCGCCAGTGCCGGATGAGGGGGAGGGGAAGTAGGCGGGGTGGGAGCGTGCCGGATGCGGGGTAGTAGTTTTTCCAAACCCTAGCCGCTGTCGCGGCCTGAGGAACGGCGGGGGCGGCGGTTGAGTCAGGGAGACGGTGGAAGAGGCGATGGAGGGGTCAGGGAGGGGCAGGCGACGGCGGTGCAGGCGGCGCCGACGGCGAAATTGGGTAGCCTGACGGCCCACAGCGACGAAATTTCGCCCTACACTTAGCGCCCACAGCGCCCACAGCGACGGTCACGGTAATATACCTCAGCACCACTGTAGGGGCGGCTGAGGTTATAAGTCACCCCTACAGAGCCATTGTAGGGGCGGCTGGGGTTATAAGCCGCCCCTACAGTACCTCAGATCCGCTGTAGGGGCGGCTGAGGTTATAAGTCGCCCCTACAGTTGAATTCTTTTTTCAAAATTCTAAATCAAAATAAATTATTCACATGTAAATAATAAATAATACAGTACAAAATTTTATAATTATTTTTTTATAGATATATTTAAATATACAATAACTAAAACAACTACAACAGTTTAAAATTGCAAAATTGAACCTTTAAAAATGGGAAAAAAATTAAATTTTAAAAAATTAAAATAAAAAATACTAAAATAATTTTGAGACAACAAATGATCTCAAATAAAAATTTGACAAACATCAAAGCTGTAGAGGTTATGAAGATCTACAACTTTTATTTTGGTCATCTTGTCATTTGACAAAATTTGAACCTTTCAATTTGAAAATTAAAAAATTGACAAGTTCGAACCAAAATTTGAGACCCAAAATGATTTTAACATAAAAAGTGATGAATACCAAAGTTGTTCAACTCATTAATATCTACAACTTTTATTTTAGTCATCTTGTTATTTGACAAAAGTTGGACCTTTCAAATTTGAAATTTTGAAAAACGACAAGTTTGAATCAAAATTTGAGACCCAAATTGATTTCAACATAAAAATGATGAATACCAAAGTTGTTCAACTCATGAATATATACAACTTTTATTTTGATCATTTCTTCATTTGACAAATTCTTATCACACATTATTCACTAATCTTACGCATTTCTCATATAGTTTATAAAACCTTATGAGAGATGTGTCACATTTGTGAACAATCTCATTACCACTTTGTCATATGAAGAAATGACCAATACAAAAGTTGTAGATCTTGATGAGTTATTCAACTTTGGTATTTATCACTTTTTCAGCTGAAATCATTTGGGGTACCAAAATCTTGTCTGAAGTTGCATTTTTTTGAAATTCAAAATTTAAATTGCTCAAACTTTTCATATGTATATATTGACAAAACCAACAAAATAAATTGATAGAGAATGATTTTAGAAAATTTTAAGAAAAAAAAATCATCAGATTTGAAGTTAGTATGAGGAAGAAAAACTAG